CATGCTGGGAGGGGGAAATGATCAAAATAAGTAAAGCTTCAAGTGCCAAGTTCATGCTTGATTTTTAAAGCCTCTGTCCAATACATTTTTGTTAAATCTAGTGTATGTAACCAGAGGTAGAGGATGGATGAATTAATAAAGTTTTGATTTTTATTGCCTATTGCAAATGGGTTTTACTACTAGCCTGGAGATTTTCCTTTAGTCGATATGAATTTGTCTGCTTACTGGTTTCTCTTAAGCCTCCTTTACCCTTTCCAAGAGGAACAGTTGGTAACAGCCAGAGGTTAGATTCCTAATATTGCCTGGAACTGAAGTTGGTGAAAAGTACTTATATCATGGTTAAGGAGTCACATTAATAGGTGTTTTCCATTGCAAATATTGAGGTTGGAGAGGAAGACCTGGATTGTAGTTCTCCATTATTGCAGAAATTGGCTAATAGATACACTGGAGAGGTAGGGTTAGGATTCAGAGAGACCTTGACAAACAGGAGGAATGAACAAAAAGAAAACTCACGAGGTTCAATAAGGACAAGTGCAAAGTCCTGCACTGAGGATGGAACAATCCCATGCACCAGTACAGGCTGGGGACCGACTGGCTAAGCAGCAGCTCTGCAGAAGAGGACCTGGGGGTTACAGTGAACAGTAAGCTGAATATGAGCCAATAGTGTGTCCTTGTTGCAAAGAAGGCTAATGGCGTACTGGGCTGCGTTAGTAGGAGTGTTGCCAGCAGATCAGTGGAGTGATTATTCCCTTCTGTTTGGGACTGGTGAGACTACCTGTGGAGTACTACCTCCAGTGTTGGGCCTCCCACTATAGAAAGGATGTGGACAAATTGGAGAGAGTTCAGTGGAGGACAGTGAAAATGTTGAGGGGGCTAGGGAACATGGCTTATGAGGAGAGGCTGGGGGAAAATGGGCTTATTTAGTCTGGAGAAGAGAAGATTGAGAGGGGATTGAATAGCAGCCTTCAACTACCTGAAGCAGGGTCCAAAGAGGATGGAGCTGGACTGTTCTCGGGTGTGGCACATGACAAAACAAGGAGCAATGGTCTCAAGTTGCAGCAAGGGAAGTTTAGGTTGAATATTAGGAAAAACTCTCTCACTAGGAGGGTAGTAACGCACTGGAACAGGTTACCCAGAGAGGTTGAGGACTCTCTATCCTTGGAGGCTTTTAAAACCCATAGACAAAGCCTTGGCTGGGATGATCTAATTGGGGATGGTCCTGTTTTAAGCTGCGTATTGGACTAGATGACCTCCTGAGGTCCCTTCCAACCCTAATTTTCTGTGACATTCAGAAGCAATTTTATTCTTTATTCAACCTACCACATGCAGAGTATTTTTGAGACATTTGCCCTGCTCTTACCTGAGGGTGTATGCATGCATGTGTGTGTGTGCATGTGTGTTAGGACTTCTCTGTGCTTAGGCAGTAACCAGGAAAGCTGTGCTTGGACAGCTAAACCCTGCCTCCCACCCTCTGAAGGAAGCTGTCTCAGAATTAGTTGTGAGCAGGTGACTTTCTCCTTGCTGCAGTGATTTCTCCATCTGAAGTCAATGCATAAGCTCGGTGCAGGTGAGTCATGATGCTCTCTCACGACATTAGGTTTCAGGCCCAAAACAGAGCTAACCCTCCCTTACCATCCCCTTCACAGGCCCAGTCCCCTCCAACTAGCCCCTACCAGTGCATTAACCCTGCCTCTAATTATCCTCTCCACAGTCACTCCCTAATTAGCTCCCCCACACACAATTAACTAGTCTGCACGTACTGTCTGTGTGTACAGAGCGCTGGCTGGCTAGAGCGACAGACAGGAGGATGAGTGTGGGGGTGGAGAGCTAGGGAGGGAGGGTGACTGTATGAGTCTCCCTACCCAGCCTGTACACACACGCACACACACTGCACATTGCACACACAGAAAATCCCCTTCTGCAGTGATTAAGTTTCCAGTATATCACTGCAAATCTGCACGGCTAGGAGAGCTGAATGTGAACTTCTAGACATAGATCATCTATAGGTACTTGAGGGAAAGAGAACTGCCTGTGTGACTCCCAAGAGCATAGCAGATCATCTCAGCACAAGGGGGAGAAATTCCCTCATTCCCAGTCCCCTCTCTGCTTTACAGCACATCAACAACATTTAAAAAAAGAACAAAACCAAAAATAGGAATCTCCCCATGCCCCTAAATGGGGGAAGTTTTCCTAGCTCTGGCCCACCCCTGAGAGAGAGCTGTCGGGGTCAAGTCCTGTTTGAAAGGAGAAGGTTGTGTTTGCACTGCCGGCTCTGCAATGCATAACAGAGTCTGCATTGCAGTCTTAAATTGCAATACAACACCATCTGTGCCTTCCCCTTGCAGCAGAACATCACTCCGGGGAGCTTGCTCTACAGGGGGCTCCACAGAGCATCTGGTGGTGTCATGCCCATGGTAACCACACCTGGACTTAATGTCACTGGCAAGAAAGGTGCAGTACAACATGCGTACCCTGATTACAAGACTGAAACTAGGACTGGCAGCCCACTGTGAAACTGGGTGGGAGAGGGAGAAGGAAGACAAGGGGCCTGCCTAACTTTTCACTGAGGTTTATTATCTTTTTTAGACAAATACAGTAAAGCAAGCAGATAAAAAATTTAAGTCCTCTTCAGAAAGAAGAGACCTGCTACAGAAAGGAAATTGAGAAGCAGGGAAATCAGCCCAAGCTGAGCTTTGTGCTGCTGTAGCTAGATTGCTACTAATCCCTGAGCAAACCAGCTGAAAGCTGGGTGCCTCCTTAACACCAGAGTTTTTTCAGTACTAATACATCCTAAATCCCCAGTGCTGCTTTCTATAGCACCGTGGGGCTCTTTTCCCCCGCACCCTTCATATTCACCAAAGGTAAAGGCACTGGAGTGGGACCCTGGAAAGATTTTGTTACCAGGTCTGCCCCTGATTTCGGCTGCTGGCAGTCATTCATTTAAAGGTGCAATATGATATGATTCCCAATCCCAACAAATCATCCTTCCTTCCATGCCACACGTGCATGGAAGCATGTGTGATTTTAGAAGCAGGGATCAGATCCCAATTGCACCTTACTTTCCAGCACAGGGGGAGCCTAGAATCATCATCTTGGGCTCCCCCTGCACCAGCAAGTTGAAAGCTGGGTGCTGGCAATCAGCTGAGTCTTGGTTGGCTCTGGGACCGCACCTAGACCTAGCTGATGATCAGTTGATCCTCCCATAGATAGGGATTGCACTGGGGCTTGAAGTCACCTGATTGTTGGCCAGCTCCAGGGACCACACTGGGGGCCAGAGCCAGCCCCATATCAGTTGATCGTTAGCCAGGAGGGACTATATGGGGACTAGTTTGAACCCTAGTGCAGTCTCAGGTCCATCTGACAATCAGCTGATTGTTGGGCAGCGGGGACCATATTAGGGCTTGTTGGAGACCACTGTGCAATCCTAACCCTGCCGCATGTTCAATTAAGGCATGATGGAAACCAGTCATAAAAATATCACACATTTTTTGGGAAATATTTTTGTGGCTAGTTTCCCATTTTGTGGCACCATTAATTCCCTGAGCATGTGGCTGGGTTGCTATTTAAGACTCAATTAACAGATTAATTGCATCTTCCGTGTAATGTCTGCCAGGGGCTTTAGTGTATCACTCTGGGAAAGCCACTTCCTGTCTGTTAAGCCAATGCTTCCCTTCCCCACTTTCTGACCATCTGTCTTTTGGAGAGCCCACAGATTTTGCTGAGGTGGCTGCTCTAAGCCATTTCTGCTGCTCAGTAGCTGAGCATTGATACACCTAACACAGGAGTGAGTTATCATGGTTTATTTCCTGTGACAGTCCCAGGCCCAGCAGGGATGCATTATAGATATGGCCTGCCTCTATTTCTCAGTCCTTTGGGACAAGAACTCTCACTCTTTCAGCGCCGTGTGCCTGTACAGTGCCTAGTGCAATCGAGTCCTGGTCCTGACTGGAATCTCTGAACACCGCTGCGATATTATTAATAATGTCATGCACCTTAACCCTAAGGATGCTACCGGCTCTCCCTTCTTAGCCCATGCCACTGGGAGAAGAAATGAGACAACCATATAAATCGGTGCTGGGCTGTAGCAGACAGGAACAGGAGTGGGAGCAGATAAACTGCATGCCCCTGATCGCCTTTCCTACCACAAGGAAACGTGCAGCCAGGACATGGGTAAAGCTGCAGGCAATGCCTTTGCTGCTGTGGAGGGAGCGGGGAACTGGGGAGGTGTATTAGTTCTTAGACCATTTCCAAGCCAGGAGCTCCAACCAGTACAAGTTGTATCTTGGTGGCCATACCCTAAAATTTACTTGTGGTCAGTGCAGGGTCAGGGACTGGGCTGGGGCTCTTAGTGGGTGCCAAATTATGTTTTTGTCCATTGTCAAGCAATCTCCATAAGCAAATATCTCATCTTCTGTTTTCCCTTTACCTTCTCCTGAACATGGAGAATTTAGAAAAGTGGGAAGGTTATAAATCCATCCCTGAGCAGTTTACCCAGGAGATACACACATAATAAAAAACAGGGCTTGGATAAACAAGCGCTCCAGGTTTGTGCCAATGCCTTTCCAGCATCAGCTCAGGGTACGCTCAGGCACCTTGAGGTTATTTACCTGTTAGCCATGGAAAGGCACCAGCAAGCATTCAGATTACTCCCCGACATTCAGGGGCACTCTACAACCCCATAGTGTCCCTGGGGACCTTTGTGTTTTCTTTCAGGCAGTGCATCCTCCTCAGCCATTATATAAATGACCCTTAAAGGGACTGAACAGCCAAAAGCAATGAAACCTAAATTTTGCCCAACTGAATGCCCACCAGGCAATCTATCAAAAGCTGAAGGCTCCATCCCATCCGCCCCCTCAAACCCTCCAAAGCCTAATTCTTTTCTCCTTTTTTATTAGTGTAAAAGTTGAGAACAACTACTTCAAAACCAATGCAGCCTCTTACAGTGAAACTGGGGAAGAGCCCGGGCCCCAGCGCCCACCTGAACCACAGCCTCTGCTCACCTCCTCCCACTGGTGGATGTAGCGGATGAGCCTGGAGAGGCGCAGCAGGCGCAGGAGGCTGAGGATTTTGGTGAAGCGCACAATGCGCAGCGCCCGAGCCGTCTTGTAAACCTCCGAGTCAATCCGGGTCTCCACTATCAGGAAGATGTAGTCCACTGGGATGGAGGAGATAAAATCCACCACAAACCAGCTCTTCAGGTACTTCATCTTAATCCTCTGTGGGTCCAGAATGATCTCTGTATTGTCCTCTACCACGATGCCGGTCCGGAAGTTGAGGACCAGGTCGATGAGGAAGAAGGTGTCCGAGACCACATTGAAGACAATCCATGGGGTGGTGTTCTCATCCTTGAAGAAGGTGATGCCCACAGGGATGATGATCAGGTTCCCCACCATTAGAAGCAGCATGGTCAAGTCCCAATAAAACCTGGGCAGTAAGACAGAAAAGTAGGAGATGAGGCAAAGGGGGCCCCAGGGAAACGGATCAGATGAACTACTTTATACAACTCTACTGTTATTAGTGCCCCTTGTTCTTCCTATCTGTCTGACCTGTTTCTCAGGCACCAATGGCATTTAGCCTCTATGTTGAAAAAGAGGTACTAATTTCTTGGGAGGAAAGGTACAAAGGGAGGTGGCAGTGTATTGCGTCTGAAGGAGATGTCCATTCAAAGTTCTGGTCAGGAGTTCGGGGTTATCCAGGAGGAAATTAAACTTTTTACATGGATGACAAGAATAATCAACTCTACAACAGCATGTATTAAAAAATCCATTGGGAAAGATAAAAGACTCTTTGTTTATGGTATACACCTTCAGTGTCTGGGGGCTAACCTGTGAGCAGGTTCTCTCACACCTTGGCACTTTTCTCTGGAGCAGCTCGGATTGATCATTGCTGGAGGCAAAATACTGGGTTAAGGTTGGACCCAACATAGATCCCCAGGGCATTCAGCTTAGATTTCACATGGAGCCTATTGCATGCTGAGGTCAGGCTTTGGGAGTTTAAGTCAGCGCACTGTGCATTCCCATGAGGTGCAAAAATGATCAATAAAGCTGGGAGTCACATGCCTGAAGATATGTATCACGCTGTCAAAGTAACCAAGGGCAACATTTCACTACTGTGTCCTTAAACACAGTCTCCAAGAGACTGATCTTGTTATTGGTCTATCAGTGTTATTGGAAGGCTACCCTCACAATGATGTTCATTTATTTATTTATTTTGGAAGTGTCCAGAGTGTGAGAAAAAGCCCAGGTTTTAAAAAACGACTATGTGATTTTTCCAAGTGTTAGTACAAAAGATACATGACCACACAATACTGCAGCTAATCCTGAGTAGGGAATAAAAACAGAAAAACTAGCCAGTTCTCACACTTTGCTGAGGATTCCCTCAAACAGCCTGGCAGTCTCACTCCAGCCTTAAATAGAGGATGCACCAATGTAACATGGTCATATATGAACAAGATTTCATTGCTTCTACACAGTATACTACAGAGTATTGACCGTTATGCTGGGAAGTGCCATAAATAATTAAGATGCACTCTTCAAAGTAAATGAACACAATAAGCAGAACAAACTGTTTATTGGGTTTGTTTACTTACTCTCACAGTCACCAAAGTCAGAAAACTGCCATTGGTTCTCCCAGGAAATCATAAAAATTAATGAGGCTTATTGTTATTCATTTCCTGAGCACCACATATGTTCTCTGCCACATAGTGAACTTGTCTCTGTCTTTGTACTCTGTCTCAAAGGACTCAAATCCAAGGGGCAAACTCTATTCCTATATACTGTAGGGGCTCTCTTCAATACCCACAAAGTCAATGGAGTGACTCTGGGTTTTACAGCAATTGACAGAACATAAACAGAGTGCATGTTAGCTCCCTACCTGTAGGGTCGCAATTTCACAGCTTAAGTCTGTATTTCACATGGTATAAAACAACATAGCTCTAATGAGTTCAACAGCATGATAGGAATTCATGTCAAATGAGGATCTGGCCCCTCCACTTTAGTTGGTTAACTTCTCAATACTGAAAAAAAAAATTATTTTCTGGATAAGCATCAGTAGTCACCTTCTATAGAACAGCATACACTGCACTGCTAAAAATATATACTTACGTATGGCTACATGCCATGTAATGTTCTAAATATCACGCACACGCACACGCATGCACATGCATGCACTAGAGGTTTAAAAATATCCAGTACTGGCCAAACTGTGCTCATATGGAGCCAATGGCAGCAGACTTCAGTGGGATCACAGTTTTGCCAATAACAAATACTTCTGAAAATCCTGGCAACTAGCTTTATCTTGCACTTGCAATGCAAAGCCCATGTCTGTCATATACACAGTGTAATTATATACCTAGCCTGCAAGCACTGATGCTGGAAGCTCTGAGATAAGATAAGTCTGTGTCTCTAAGACCATAGCCATGCCATATAGCAATATGTACTAATACTGTACAAATCCATGTGCTGTGATCTTGTTTATTAAGGGCCTTGAAATGCACAGTGCAGCTTCCTGAGTCAGTTAATTTAGATAATCACACAATGGCATGGAAGTCTGAAAGAAACAAGTATATCTTGCCCAAGAGAAATAACCTTTCAGCCATCTTTAGTCCAACTGTTGGGATGCAGAGGGAGATGCACACACCAGGAAAGGATTATTCTTGCTCCAGTTTCAGGGGAAGAGGCAGAGGAGAGCTGAAATAGAAGTCAGACTTGCATATATGCAAAGGTGAGATTTGCTCTCTCCAGAGACCTCTTGGTCTTGCTGTTTTTTCCCCCCTTTGTACATCAGCAGGTGATTTTAGTGATCAGCAGTGAGAAAGGCACTAACGGCACTAGCTAGAACAAGTCATAGTATGGACAGAAGGAAAACTACCAGGGTGCAGGTCAAGCAAATGCTTCACGACATTAAGAGACTAATAGACCTCTTCCTTATTCCCATCCCCAGTAATGCAGACAGGCAGAGCTTGGTCAGCTGCCCTGAATGCTGACCTACAATATCCCCTGCTGTTCCAGTCCTGCCCATGCTCTGCCCATGTACCTCTCTTCCAGCTGTGTCCATTGATGTTCTAATGCTGAGTCACTAGCAAACATTCCCAATCAAGTTTTGCAATATGAAAAAGTATGTACAGATCCTACTCCACCTAATAGGTGCCTAGGTGGACTTAAGTGCCTAAGTGTGATTCAGGGTACAGTAGATCTTATTCACATTCAGGCCCTACCTATGTCCACTTTGGTACCTAATAGCTGGAGTAGAATCTGGCCCATGGAGACAAGGTCATAAAATTTATTTCTAGGCATTATTTAAATTTGAATTCTATTCCAACATGGTGGTAGTGACTCAGATGAATGCCGTGGATTCCCTTGGTCCTAGCATTTAGCAAACACACCTAATGGACTACAGATGACGATTTCTATCCAATGCACCAACTCTTAATTTAAAAGGTGCCAAAACCTACAAGGTCAATATAACTCTGGCCTCTAGGCAGAAGGTAACAGAGACTGAAAACATCCTACAGGGCAAGATGAGGAGCTTGGTAGAATCTAGCTATCAAGTCAGAAATACCATGGTCCATGTATATCCCATGTCACATTTTAGCTATCTAGTGTAGGGGTGCCAAACTCATTTGGCCTTGCAGGCTGAATGACATGTGGCTGCCCCATGGACTGGACTGGGCCCATGTTTCCCTTCGCTTTCCCCCTGCACTTGCCTGATCCCGTGCATGAAGCACATGGTCTGGCCAGTCCAGGACCGTGCTGCCCATGGTGCCCACGTGGAACTGATCCAGGATGCATGCCACACTCTGGCCATCCATGCCGCATGCCATGCCTGGCCCAGAGTGGCTGGTGGGGAGTCGGGGGTGCTGGCAGCATGGGCTCTGGACCAGCTGGGACAGGTGCCACATGTGGTACTTGTCTTGGACTGACCACAGTGAGCGCTGAGTCCACAACAGTCCCAGACTAGCCCAAGCAAGACTGTGTGCAATGCAGATCACAGTGCAGCTGGAGTGGGCACCATGTGTGGCTGATTTGATGCATGCTGTGTGCAGTGTGTAGATCAAGTATGGACCCAGAGACAGCCCTGGGGGCTGGATGATGTAGCTCCATGGGCCATATCTTTGATACCCTTGATCTAATGCAATCTGTTTAGTTAAGGATAGCTTAACTCAGAGCAAGCGGCTACTCAGTGGCCACAGCATACTTGGAGTAAAACATCCTCATGAATGTTATCATCATCACATAATTTCTTTTTCTCTCTCCAAGTTACTGACTGAAAGGAATAAACATGTAGGTGATGTATGTGAGAAAAACTAGTATCAAGTATTATTAACTATGCTCTGCATTTCTGTAGCTCCTTCCATGAAAGCATCACATAGGACTTTCTATTCTGTAACAAGTTTAGCCATACAATTTCCCTGAGAGGACGAGAAGGATTATTAGCCCCATTTTACAGTTGGGGAAACTGAGACCTGGCAACGTTAAGGGCAGAATGTACCACAAGAAGGTCTAATGAAATCTCTCCTCTGATTTTCTCTCTTCCTGGTCAACTGTTCCTTTTCTTCCTGTTTCTAAGCATTTACATGAAACATTAACAGCAAAAATGTATTGATTTCTTATAGCTGATTCTCTAGGACTGAGCAACTCACAACAGCAAGGAAAACTAGTGCTGTAGAAACCAGCCAATTCTCTCCAAAATACTTATTTGTAGAGAAAATGGAGAGGATCCAGAGGCAAGTGACAGAGATGATAAAAGGACTGGAAGGCAAGTTGTACCAGAGAAGGTTGAAAGAACTAGGTATACTTTGTCTGGAGAAAAGGAGATTAAGGAGGGACACTATCACAGTTTTCAAATCTTTAAAATGGTGGGTAAGAGAGAGAGTGAAGTCTTGGGCTGTTTCTATACATTAATAGTTATTATGCCATTGCCTTATTAATAGTATAATAAATTTAGACTGGCTACACATGCAAATGAATTATGGTCCCTTAAAAAGGGTCAACCAGCTATAAAGTTATTGCTTGAAAAAGTGTAATACTTTTGTAGCTGGTTTCTATCCAGTTTTAATTTGCACATATACACAGTCTGTGACTGGGAGACCACAGCTGCTACAATCTCCCAGCTGCTGGAAATCACAATGCACCCCCAAGGCTGGAAGATCCCAGACACTGTGGGCTCCCAGCTGCAGGGATACTCCACAGAGTAACTGGGAGAGTGCAGCTACTGTGATCTCTCAGCCATGGGGTGTTTCACACATCCCTGGGGCCGGGAGATCACAGCAGCACCCCATGGCTACTGCGGCTGAGAGTCCCACAGCTGAGGGGTCTCTTGGCCCTGGCTGTGCTCCACATGCAGCCAGGGATAACAGTTCCCGCACCTGACAAGACTATTGGTTACAGCTGTGTCACATGTGTGACATGGCAGGAGGCATTATT